ACCCAAAGCATTTAGGCCTTTAAAATTCATAGCCATCAGTCTGAGCTGCACTGGAAATGGGCCAGAAACCAGTACAATTTGTATAATAAAGGTGTCACAGCATATGAGAAATTGGCTCAAACCTCTGCATTTCCTGGAATACATTTCAAAGGGAGACCCACAAAAAGTGTTACAGTAATCCAACATTAATGTAGCTAAGCCTTTGGGATCATGGCCAGGTCTACCTTCTCAAGGTATAGCCAGATCTGCTGCACCAGCCTAAGCTGTGCAAAAGCCTTCCTACCCAACACCCTCACCTTTGTGTTCATCCAGGACCAGAATTATACCAGCACAGGGGTATGACTCTGTGATTTTAAAACACTGTTTAGGGGATATTGGACCAACCATGTTAATAAGTTATGATAGGATGCTTGCCAGCATAGCTCACACAATAAACACTGGAATCTGAACCATTGCATGTCTGTAACTACAGTAGATGGGGGGTCACTCTTACAACCACTTGTTTTCATTGGTTCATCCACATCCCATGTCAGCTCATGAGCAGCCACCCAATAAATCCATTCTTTTCCTGGAGATTACATTTCATACCTGGCAGAGAAAGGTTTAATTTTAGCAATACCACATCCTCTGCAATTCCCAGAAAAGTCTAGGATATGGTGTGTGTGTGTGTGTGTGTGTGTGTGTGTGTGTGTGATATTCCTGTCATAACTGCTTCAAGTCAGCACATTTTTACACTTAAAGATACCTCTCTGTTTCTGTGGCAAATATTATGCAAACTGAGTAGCTAGCCACATTATCTGGCAGGATGATACGAAATAGTCTTAAACTAATTCAGACCACTGGTCTGTCTAACTCCAAATTGTCTATTCCAGGTTTCCGCAACCTCGGCCCTCCAGATCTTTTGAGACTACAATTCCCATCATCCCTGACCACTTGTCCTGCTAACTAGGGATCATGGGAGTTGTAGGCCAAAAACATCTGGAGGGCTGAGGTTGAGGAAGCCTGGTCTATCCTGACTGGCAGGGGCTTGCCAGGGTTCAGGCATGGGGTTTTCCCAACCTTACTTGGAGACTCTCTACCATTTAGTTATGACCCTACTTCCTCCTAATACCCCCAAGAGTGCCACATGCCACAATTGCTGCTAGCAGCACAATATTTATTGTGGTCACCTGTGTACCTGACAGTTCTGGGGGATTTTGCCCCTTTTTTTTCCACCACAGAGTTTCTTTTCATAACAATGACTTCTAACTAGTTGAGACTATCCATACAAAATGGCCGGCAGGCACAAGCTGATTTAAGGATTTAAAATTTCAAGCAGGTTGTTAAATCCCCTGTGGACTGTGAAAAGTGTATTTATCTAATACAGTTTTTAAGGTCTGAAGGCATTTGTAGTATTTTCCCTTCTGGGGAAAGCAAGGTTTATTGGGGAAGGGGGAGCATCCATCGCAGACTTCACAAATTAAGTTTAGACTTCACTTCAGTGACACTACTTGAGGGCAGTTGGTCAGGATGGTAAGTAATTCATCACTTCTACCAGTGCATAGTATTTAAGCCTCCTTGAAGTTTTGGGTATGGCTGCATTGTTATACTCAAGGCATATACCAGCATAAAAGTTGCTGCAATTTAGCCTAGAGAATTCTGCTTTTCTCAGTAAAGCAATGACAATTCCCACATTGCTTGTTTGGAGAAGGCTCTCTGTGAGAGAATGGGACCACATGTGTCTGAACCTCAGAAACTTCCAAATCCCCAATCAGCCTACTGGTTTCATGTGCACATTGAGTAACTTCTTAAAGAACAAAATGGGATTAAACACTAAAGTCAAAGGGAGTGTCGTGTGGTTTTTCCAGAAGTAGATGGGTTGATAACTGCTAGACTTGTCATGGTGTATAACAAAGTTAATGGCCACAGGGAATGCTTTTGTGGCTTCCTTTTTCCTAGAGAAAGATAGGAAAAGAGGAACCACTAAAGAAACAGTGAGGAAAATAAGGGTCAAGCTACCGTATCTTTTGCTCACTTTTTTCCCCCTCCTAAAAAGTAAGGGGAAATGTGTGGGCGTCTTATGGAGTGAATGCAGGCTGCGCAGCTATCCCAGAAGTCAGAACAGCAAGAGGGATTGCTGCTTTCACTGCGCAGCGATCCCTCTTGCTGTTGTGGCTTCTGAGATTTAGAATATTTTTCCTTGTTTTCCTCCTCCAAAAACCAGGTGTGCCTTGTGGTCTGATGCATCTTATAGAGCAAAAAATACGGTACATGTGAACTTAAGAGGAGCCCTGCTGAGTCAGGCCAAAGATCTACTTGGTCCAGCATCCTGTTCTCACAGTGGCTATTGAGATGTCAAATATGTAATGCCTTTGCTTTTAACATGTATTTGTTTTCGTTTTTAATGGAAAGAACAGCCCAAGCAGGGGAACTGATACTCATCAGGTTTGCAAAAGACAGGGCTTAACATGCACACCCACATACCCTCATGCACACACACACAACTACTATTTGCATGGGCCAAGTTACATATCAAATGCAAAGATAGATTTAGGAATGATATCTTGCTCGGCCCTGAAGGGCAACATTTTCTGAAGTTACTACTCCCCGCCGAAACTGCTTCAGATAAACAACAACAGCAGCATTCTAGAGTTTGAAGGCTGTAAAAAATATCTTTTTGGCCTCCACATAACGCAAGCTTCAGGGGTTAGTCTGATATTGCCTCAAAGCAGTCCCAATATATTTTGCTGCCTGAACCGCGCTACAAGATGGCAACCGCTTCTTATTTCATGTACAGAAGCCAACTGAATTGGTAGTTGCTGTGAGCTGCTCTGAGATCTACAGATGAAAGGTGGTATACAAATTTAATAAGTAATAATAAAAAACCTAGTAAAAATAATCTTACTTTAGTACTGGGGATATGACACTGTCCTTCAGCAGAGAGGAATTGCCCCAGGGATTAGGAGGAGAAGCCATGGGCCTGATATCAGTAGCAATTACCCAAGGCAATTACCTCACTTTGATAGAGCCAGCCTTGTGTCATCTGAACATACTTAAGTTGCTGTCATTGATATTTTCCAGCTTGAACCTCCAGATGTTTTCTTTACCTACCTACCTACCTACCTACCTACCTACATGTAGTATGCAAAGAGATTATTGCTCCTATACTGTGTTTAAATACAGGGTAGTATGTATATGAAAAATGCTGCAGTTTCCTTGCCTACCTCACAAGAGCTGTTTAAAAGTTACTTAAATATATATTGAAATTCATTCACATGTAATTTGCTCTGTCACAACCACAGCTCCTGAATCTCATATTGAGCCTCCTGCCACCTATATAATTTGCAGAAATGTTTTTCACATCCTCTTTTGGTGGCTGGATAACTCTTCCAATCCCATTTAGCTCCCAATAAGGGTTTGGTTATCCTTTGCCTCCTACAACTCAGCAGCATTCATGTGCTTATCTCTACACTGATACTGGTTTAGAAAATTGCTTTAAAGCCCCAAATGAAAAACCTTTTTTGGTCTTGATATTTTTCCCCTATCGTCTCTTTGCAGAGGATGAATTCTTACATACCTGGTTCTGCTGAGAAGCACATCATTGGTTTCACTGAGTCTGGTATTGAGTCAGGCCGTATTGCACAAGGATAAGAATATCAAAGTCTGGCACCCTGAATTCCACTGTATAACTCAGCAGCACACAGCAGATTGCAGGCTGAAAAAAACAAAAACAGCATGCTTCCTAAGAATTGGAAGGCTGCTGATTGTCAAATAATTTCTTTTGTTGGCGATTCCCTGTTTTACTCTCAGTTGTATTACTGACTTTCCATTTGGACTTACATTCTGTTCAATTTAACCAGCTTAGTTAGACACTTTGGCAACAGGCAGCTTTAGACGATGCAGCCAAATGGTTCTTAAGTGGGAAAGGAGACCGCTTGTGTTCCTGTATATAACTCTAGCTGAATTATAATCAGCAATAGTCCCAAGAATCCCTTAAGGTTCATAACACCCAGACTCACAAGTAAAACATAAACCATGTTCAGGGTCCAGAATTAGGCAGAAATTTTACTCATACCAACAACTGACAGGCTAGGCCAAACTTTTGTGTGTGATAGAGAGATTAACTATCCATATTCAATAGGCACTCTCAGAGAGTTAGGTGATTAAAATAGTCCCCCTTAGTCACTCAGGAATATACCATTAATGGTGATACATACATCTTTGAAAAAGTGAAGATGAAAAGAAAGGCGTATATTTGCATGAAATTCTCATATACTAATGTAAATTTACAGATGCAAACGTAGAAATAATTATAGTAATCTAAATAGAAATGCAATGCATCTCACAATAGCAGAAATGCAATGCATCTCACAAGGACCAGGTGCCCCTTCTCAGCCTGCTGTTCAGGTGCTAACTCCTGATGGGCAACTTCAGGGCTCCTTACTCCTTGTGTGATTCGGACCAGGCAGCCTTTTAAATAGAGCACATCTGCAAACAGAGCACTATCCTCTGTAAAACAGGACAAATGGCTGCCCTATACACATGTGTGGAATATCATTAGCAGGTTGAAATTGGCTTTTTGTCCTAGGCTTCCATTTCTGCCTCAATGTTTGATCAAAAGACGTATGTTATTTGCATCTATAAAACATCATCACCTGTTATGTACAGCATATCTTTAAAAGACTGAGCAAACAATAACATGGCTTTTATTTTAAAAATGGGTGACATGACATGGGTTGTGAGAAAGGAGAAATAGGCTCAATACATGAAAAGGTATGTTCAGAGTTCAGCTGACCTATTACAATCTGAATCCTCTGCAAAAGGTCTTCAAGAGATATTTTGAAAGTTATGCTCCACATGAATATGAATATATATATATATATATATATATATATATATATATATATATATGCGCAATGTGTTTTTGGGGTTCAAGGCTGTTCTTCGTATCACCCCCCACCCCTTAACTTTGTGGGAGAATGGATTTGTCCCAGCCTGAAAATAAAAGAACTTCTAGGCTTCAAGGGAGTTGATAACTCTTTATTATAAGAATGAAACATTGTAACAAGATGTTAGATCAGTTATTGAAACTAACATTTGGATAAGGTTTCACTTGATTTGATTTTTGTACCATAACAGTTGATTGTGGGGGGTGGGGGGCAAAACCCATGGAAAATGGCATCCCTTAGTTTTTATACACTCTTGTGGTTAGAATAATGAATGTCAGACACAAACAGTGCCAGGTGCATATATGTAGGAAAACATGCTTGCCATGGGAGTACAAAAATAAAATTTATTTGTTAAATTACACATAAATATAAGGTACAAATGTATTTTTAAAATACAGTTAAAGATAATCACACTTGCATTGTGTACATATGAAAATACAGTATTTTAATATTCAACATACACAGACACATTTATGATAAATGTAACTAATTGGCAATGCCAGTTCTTTTCATTCTGGGTTCCCATCTCTGTTTTCCATAAATATGGAAAATTAATTTGCTATGAAACAAAACTCTCTAGTTCTGTCTGACATCTTGTAGCAGCTTGTTAATTTCTGCCACCAGCTCGCTAGCATCCATTAGTTCATGTTTACCGTCACTGAGGTGGTTAAGCACATTGTCAAAGTCATCTTCTTCATAATTCTCTGGGATTTCCTCCATGGCTGGCAGCCATTTAGAAGATGGCTGGGCCCCTGAGTGAGTCCCCAAAGGAAGCCCAGTGTTGTTTGCAGGGTTTTGGAAGTGTGTGCTGGCTGCCCAAGCTGCCACCCCTTGTGGATAGCTTACAGTCTTGGCAGGCAAATGTCCTTTCCTGCGCTCTAGTGAGCTGGAGGGATCCATTTCGTTGCATTCCGTGTAGGCATCTAATGAAGGAGGCAAAAGGCGCTGGAAAACACTGTTCATTTCTGACAGCAGGGATGAGGTGCACAGGTCACCTGCTTCGTCCTCGCTCTGACTTTCTTTGCCAAAAGTTGAAAAGCTCTTTTTCTTTTCAGTTGTCTCAACGGCTTGAGCATCCTCTTCCAGTACCTGCTGTTGTGGTGGTTGAGTTTGCTGTGGCTGAAATTCCTCCCCAGGAATAAACATATTACTTCTGTAATCAGAAGATGGAGAAGGCAGAGGTGGCATCCAGCACTGGTCAGAATGTCCCAGGACTCTGCATTCCTCTGTGCATAGTCTCATTGCTGTCAGTAAAATGAAAACAAGAAGTTAATATTCATTAAGTTTCCAGGCACTAGTCACAGTGTCACTTTTAACTTTGAAACTTTCTGGGACATGCTTATCCATAGTGTAGTGGTAGTGGTTTGAACAGAAGACATTTAGGCTATGACTTTAGGGATGAGGAACCTGCATGGCCAGAGATGAGCAAGAACTGAATGACCAGAAGTTCTCCATTCCTCCTATAAACACTTATATGGAAAGAATTCCTATTAAACTAAGGAGGGCTTACATCTAGAGTAAGCATGTACAGGATTGCCCCATCAGTGAATGTGTGTTCAATCCTCTTCCACAACACTTTAACATAACCATCCAGGTATTTAAAGCCTCATGTAAGTGATTGTAATGGGGATATGCTACTGGCCCTCCGTTGTGCCCCCATTGCCTGGTCCAATTCCTCCAAACACTGGAGGATATTTTACCCTGTAGAGTCCCACCCCATTTTTGTTGTAAATTGCTTTGGATGTTATGCTATGAAACAGCATATGGATTTGCAAAAAAAAAAGGGGGGGAGAAAGCAGAATTAGAAGACTTGACAAAATGATTAATATGTGAATGAGCGTTGTAACATCAACTTTCTGAGTCACTATATTTTAGTGACAGTGAATTTCACAGACTGACTTAAGTTTCTTCCCATTTTAATCAACTTAATAAAGATGGCTAAATAAATGTAGCCTATATACCTTCAAACCCATCCCATGTTCCATGTATGTGATTAAATTTTACACTTGCAATTGTATTCTTTGCACTTAAATATATTTATAATCATCTAGCTTTGTGCTTCCTTATATCGGTTCTTGGAAGAAGTTGAGATGGCTATGGTCAAGTTACTATTGGTGTATTGGTAAGTTGCAAAAATCCTGTATGTTTAGAGAACTGAAATGCTCAAAACATAGACAGGTTTGGTAACTGAGTAAAGGTTTACAGCCTAAGATTACACAGATTCCATCCAATTGTTGAAAATCGTTCTCATTTACATTAGTTTGTATTGAAGGACAACAACAACAAAAAGATTTTGGCATTCTTGTAGTTACTGGGAAATACTTTTGCTCTGAGGTATGTTTGTGGACATTTTGTTTGGCAGAAAGCCCAATACAAATTGTACAACTCCTCCTGCCTCTACATAGTATCAACAATTATATACATGGCTATCCTAACAGTCATCAAAGGACTAACTTAAACTCCTTAATTTAAATGGGTATTCTCTTAGCATGACTATAGTTGGATATCACCTAATGTTTGGTGCATTCATAATTGGTGGACATTCATCTGCAAACAATAATAATCTGCTGTTATATCAGCATAATGCACATATCTATAGAAGGTTGGGAAACTCCTATGAGTCTGATGGCCTAAATTTGTGTTAGTTGTTTTAGAATTACCTAATAGCAAATGTTTAATGTTTAGAAAATTATTTCTGTCAATTAATATTTTCCATTGTTTAATATCTGAAGAACCCAATGAATAATGAGTATATGTTGGCTCTCATTTACCACTACAGAATCAAACAGCTCAAGAAACGTTGTTCTGTGACATTGTATTTAGAAGGGTAAAGATGTATTGGCCCATGGAGATAGGTTGATCTGTTAGGAGACAACTTCTTATGAACTACCCATTCATCTAACACAGTACTCTCTACACTGACCAGGAATAGCTCCCCAGGGTATCAGGCAGCGGTCTTCCCCCATACCTGATCCCTTTTTCAAACTGAAAATACATAGAACTATTGTTCCTCCCATATGAACGCAGCCTAAGAAGCAATGGGACCTGCTTCTATGTATACATGCATACCTCTACCAAAGGCATTATGGACTTTGAAGAAGCAGGAACTCAGGACAAAATGGAGAAATGAGCTAAGAGGAAGGCACATTTGGCAAATCCTCACTGTGATCAACTCCCGCCCAGAAACCTATGTCCCCACTCTGGAAGGATGTGTGGATCCAGAATTGGCCTCCACTTATGGACACACTGTTAAAACCATATTCATGGAAGACAATCTCACTCGGCTATGAGTGATAGCCAAATAAGAAAGAAGACTCATGCATAGAATTTCCCTATAAGACTACAACTCCCATCAGCCTTAGCTAGTGTGGCCAATCATCAGGAATGATGGTGGTTGCAGTCAAACATCTGGAAGGCTATGGATTCCCCATCCCTGCTATAAGAGAAACTGTTCATTAGGTTGCAACATGGTAGACTATTTGGAATTAATGTTGAGAGTACAAGGATAGAAGGGTCCCCTAGTAAGGTTTAAGGATTTTAGATCACTGCACATAGCCAGTTGTGGATGGCATGGTAGGGCAGGACAGCTGCTACTTAATGGGAAGTAGAGGGGTAAGTCAGTGATGAGGTTGGTGTGGCGCAAATGCCAGTTGTGAGAGTACCAGTTTGTCTCCATTGGTGTGTTTGCATCATGCTGACTTTGATGGAATTGACCAGAGGTCAAGTGGGCTATGCCACCCCACTATGCCACCCACTATGGCACATAACAATAAAAATTCAGTAACAGACACCCAGTGTGAGTTTGCAAATGGCAGGCTGGAACACCAATCACCATTCTAACAACTGTGGTGACTGCATACATATGTGCTTTCCTACTTTTTTCAGAGAACTGGGTCTCATATAGCCTTTCCTTTTGAATATATTTCTCTAAAGGCATTTTGAACACAAAATCTGTAGCACCCATGCATCGAATATCGCCATCCTCAAAACGAGATATCAAATTGTCATTCATTTTGTTTTTTAATGCAACCATGAAATTGGCTCCACCCATTATAAAGGGCAAGAGCAACCCACTTTGAGCCAACTAATCGGACTGCAAGTGATACCAGTTGTGGTGTTTGTGGCCACTGAACTTGGACAAGTGTGCAACACTTTGGGTATACGAGGTGCCATGCTGTACTTGAGCATAAATTGGGCTATAGGTGTTGCTATGTGGAGAAGGAAACGGGGTTTCTTCAAAGCATGAGAGTTAAAGAGATTGTTTTTCATCATTGTGAAGTTGTCTCAGTGTGACTGGCAGGGAGCATTGTAAATAAACTGTTCAACTTTCATTGCATTCTTACCTGCAGGAATTCTCCCATCTGTAAGGAAAAGGTCACTGAATCCTTCTCCAAGAAGTCTGTCAATTGGAGAATCTCTCCCCAAATCATAATCGCTGTCTCCTGCTTCACTGTCACCACGGCCGCTGTCTTTCAAGCTGAACTTATCCATATCTTGAAGGGCGTACCTGCGATAAAACAGAAGTGACATGTGGATTGAGTTATGCTCTATTGGCTTATGTGCTGGGCACTCTCCTCAGGTAAAACTGCTTTCAACATTGATCTGAGTAAAACCCTCACCTGTAGCTCCTGGAATATTTGTTTCCTCTAAAACTTGGCCTTGGCTGATACTGGCCTTGATGAAGCATTGAGAGAAGTTGAGAGACCTGTAAAGAAAAACACAAAAGACTGATTCCTGAAAAATAATGCCCAAATATCTCCCTAAGAGAAAACATGTGTTAAAAAAATTATTATTATTACTACCACTATTATTAAAACTTCAGCTGTTTAAAAATAATCATTTAGAACCTCTTCATGTTGCAAAGACATAAGACAATACAGCCAAAGTAGAAGACAACTGGTAATATCTAATGACACTTTACCAATACAATTTAGTCCTGCTTTTATTAGCCTGAGGATGCCAAATAATTAAAGACCTGATCTTCAGTCTAGTCAAGCTAAAGTATTTGGATGTGAATGGATTTAGCTCCATTGAAGTTAGTGGGCCTAGAAAATCAGCTTACATTCAAGTGTTTTGAGCTATGGCTCAGGGCCTTAAAACATATTCATTAACAGATTTGCATGCACAGTTGACACAAGCTGTTAAAGCAGCTGCAGTTAGAATTGCGGCACCATTGGTAATATATGCCCTCATTGTTTTGTATCATTTGTATATGTAAATACACTATGGAATGTGTTCGAATAGAGAGGCAAAGAACATGCAAGTTTAGCATACTTTATTAGAAGCATTTGCGGGAAATGTTCCAAATAAAGCTTGAAACCTTGATTAACAACAATAATAATGCCATTAAGAGTAACTCTTTTTAATGTTTAATTGGCATGGCAGTGTAGCAAGGGGCTGTGTAGCCTTTCACGATTCACATAAAAGTCACACACACAGAGAGAGAGACAAACTCAAACACACACAGGGCCATTTTACACATTACATATTTCCAACACAGAAACAAATACAGTGTAACAATCAGTTTCAAAATCATGCACTGTGTGCAAAGATGTACTGTTACTGGGAAGCTGCTGCCAATCATGGCTTCCCAGTCCATACAGAGAGAGATTGAGAATACAAGTGTGTGCAATTATCATACATCACAGTTGGCACACTGGTTGCAACTGCATTCTGAAATAATGAATCTGTGAAATGGCCATGGAGTGCCTGCTTGCATTTGTGAGTGAGTACTAGTCCATGTAGCACAGTAAGTGAGCTTACCTCAACAGCAGGTGTAGCATGAGTGAGCTCAAGGGAGAAATTCTCAGGTACGTGATTTGATGAGATGGTCACCAGACTGTTTAGAGACTGGTGACTGTGGTGGCTTTGGCGACTGCTCATCTGCCCTCTTTCTAGTGTTGGAGATGATGAAGGTGAAGCTTTATGGTGTGACCTGATTGGCAAAGTACCATTAACAGTAGGCACTAGTGTAATGTCCCCTTTGTGGATCTGTCTTGATGGCCTTTTGGGATGATGCTGGTATGTGGACTCTGCTACACGACAGTTATAGGATCTGGTGTCCTTTTTCTCACGATTGCACCTTGTAGCAAAGACAACCATGATAACTAGCAAAACAGCACATATTGCCCCTAAGGATATAATTGTGATCATGGAAACATCTAGAGAAGGTTGGCTAATGTACGTAGCTTCTGTAGCTGAAGGCAGATAAACATATTTAGCAACACTGCATTTCAGAAGTGCTTTGGTACTGAGCTGAGGACTTCCTTTGTCCTGAACCACCACTGAAAGTTCCCATTCTGTTGATTTGGCAGATTCAATGCTAGCATTGAGATAGATGTCACATGTCTGTGGGTCCATTATGAAGAGGTGGTCCTCACTACTACTTGCTAATGAACAGCTGAGTTCTGAGTTCATCCCTGAGTCTTTGTCTATGGCTCTTATCCTAGTGACAGGGTAGTTGATTTCAGCTTCTTTGGGGATTGAAATCTTTGCTGTATTGTTGTGCAGTACTGGCTCTATAATCCAAGGGGCATTGTCATTTTCATCAATGATAGTGAGCACAACTGTTGTATTGCTGGCAAGTTGCTGACTCCCTCCATCTCTAGCCTGAACCACAAAGGCAATTTGGTTTACTTCTTCATGATCAAAAGTTCTAAGTGCATAGATGGCTCCATTGGAAGGATCAATGGTCACATAGGTAGTTATGGAGCTTCCCAAAATAAAGCTCTCCAAGATAGTGTATGTCACCTGCCCATTATCTCCTAGATCTGGATCTGTGGCTGTAACAGAGGTGATATATGCACCTGGAGAATTATTTTCCAGAATTACAATTTCATATCTATTGGTCTGGAACTGAGGTGGGTTGTCATTTTCATCAATGATCTGGACAGTAAAGTGTTTCACTGTGGAGAGACTTGGGGTCCCCCTGTCTTCTGCTATGACAGTCAAGCTGTATTCAGATCGCTTTTCTCGATCCAGAGTAGTATTTGTTAAGATGAAATAGTTGTTTTCATAGGTCTTTTGGAGTTTAAAGTGACCATGCCCATGGAGCTTGCACACCACCTCTCCATTCAACCCAGAATCTTTGTCTTGCACTCTCACCAGGGCCACAAATGTCTCTACCGAAGCTTTCTCAGAAATGTAAGCAATTTCCTCCTTTCCAGGAGACATCAGGTTTAAATTGATATCTGGCTTGTTGTCGTTCACGTCCACAACCTTGATGATAATCTTGCAGTGAGCTGGGATAGAATTGGGACCCAGGTCTTGAGCCTGGGCATCAATTTCATAGGATTTGGTGGTTTCATAGTCCACTGGCTTGAGAAGGGTCAGCTGCCCCCTCTCAGAGTCCATCTTAAAAGTCTCGATGATCTTGGAAGACACGTGGCTACTGAAAGAATAGACAACTTTCCCATTCGCCCCCTCATCCGGATCAGTCGCGTTGAGGTCGATGAGCAAAGTCCCAACTCGGGAGTTCTCCAACAGCTGGATGATATAGGTCTGCTGCTCGAAAACGGGACTGTTGTCATTGGAATCGGAAATGCTGATCTTCAGGATGGAAGACCCACTGCGCTGAGGAACCCCGTTGTCCGAGGCGGTCAGCTGGAGCTCGTAGCTCGATTTCAGCTCCCGGTCCAGCTCACTCACTACGATCAGCTCGGCATACTTGGCCCCGTCGGTCCTCGTGCGCACTTCGATGGTGAAGAAGTCGTTGGCCGACAGCGAGTACGTGTACAGGGAATTGTCCCCGACGTCCGGGTCGAAAGCGCTGTCCAGAGGGATCCGGGTGCCCACAGCGGCGCTCTCGGAGATCTCGAGGGGGATGAGCGCTCGGGAGAACTGCGGCGAGTTGTCGTTAATATCCAGCACCTCCACCTCGATGTGGAAAAGCTGGAGGTGCTCGGTGGGCAGCGTGATCACGTCGAACTCGATGGAGCAGTTCAAGTTCTTCTGGCACAGTTGCTCGCGGTCGATCTTGGCGCCGATGCTGATCTCGCCGTTATCCTCGCGGACCTTCAGCAAGGGAGAGTTGCCCCTCTGCATGGCTCGGAAGCGTACGGAAGAAGGGTTGGGCAGCCGGTACAAAACGTCTGCCACGTCTTCCGAGAGCCGCGCGATGACCGAGCCCACCCTCTGCTCCTCGTAGATCCGGTATTTCAAAGTCTTGCCCGCGGCGCCTCCCCAGCAAGCCGCCACCGTCGCCAGGGCAAGCAGGGCGGCCAAGTGCGTCTTGCCGGCGCTCAGCCTCGGCATCACGAAAGCCTTTCCTTCCCCACAAGTTCGCAAAGCGCTTCTCTCAACTTCTGCTCGATGTCTCCGCATGCATTTGCCTTCCCCACCCCACTCCCCACGCCCCCAAAAACTGTACCAAAAAGAGAGAGCAAGAGTCCTTCTGCAACCCAGCACAGTTCCGATATCCTCTCCGAGCTCAGAAAAGTTGCTTACATGCATGCAGATGGTGGCGGGACTCCCTTATACATCCTGGAGGCGAGCCGGCTGGATTGTGCTGCTGCGCTCTAGTCCAGGAGGGTTGGCACATCAGGGCTCTTATTCCTCTTCCTTCTCCTCCTCCTCCTCCTGCCTCTGCAGTTTACTCTCCGCTGAGTGCGTGTGGAGGAAGGAACTGACGCTGGCTCGGCGCTGGGCTCTTTCCCCCGAAGAGATCCTCTTTCCTTTCCCTGCTCGGCTGCCGACTAAGCAGCCTCGATTGCTGACTCCCGTCTAAAAATCTGGGGAACTTCACTCCAACTCAGACAAAGCTTTTTGCCCGGCTGCATGTGTTGAATTGCTTCCAGCCAATCAGCGGGCTTCCAAATCAAAGGACAGTGAAGTCACACACATGCAAAAAAAAAAAAAAAAGAGGGGTGGAGGAAGGAGCTGGAGGAAGGAGGGGGGCAGCTCCTTCTCCCTCTCTCCCTCCCCCACCCTACGTTCACTTTCTGTGAGCGTGCCGTTACACCCACCCCCACCCCCAAAAGTAGGCGACTGGCTAAAGAGCTACTTTAAATCAACTTTTTTGTTCTCCTCTTTATGATAGTTTCGACGGGGGTGGGCTTGGTTTTGTTTTCGTTTGGGGTCTTGTTTGTAATTTTAATGAGCGCTTTCAAGAATCCCCTCATGCGTGGACTTCAAAGTTGCTGTAACCAAAGCGAGTCTTTTTTCGAGTAAGTTTTGCGGAGTGAAGAAGTTTGCCCTCCCTCAGCCTTGGTCCCCGCCTCTCTTTTGAGGAATATTAAGATGCTGCTTCTGATTTCTAAGCAATCTTTTTCCCTTTTGTCTTCTCTCTCTCTCTCCTCCCCCCCACCTTATAATAGCCTTTTTACTTTTAAGCATTTGCTTCCCTTCATCTTAAAGTCAAGAAAATGCTTGCATAGCCTTGTCCTTTCGCTGGCTTCTGATGAAAGTATATATAGCATTTGGCACTGATGTGTGTGTTTGCCTTCCCTGTACTTCCCCAGCCCCACTTACTGTAGCCCTTGTAGTTCTTCAGAAGCTCCCTTTCATCTTCCTTTTAAAAGCACCCTTTCCTTTTAGCATGATGGAGCATGCTAAAGCATTGTGTCCACATGTACAGTAAAACACTTTTATCATAAGAAGCTGTAGGGTACACTATAGGTCAAATATGGTAGGGATCCTCTAAAGCAGGGGTGCCCCAATTTTTTTCAAAGAGGGCCAGATTTGAAGAAGTGAACGTGCATGAGGGCCATGTTGAGCTTTCTTTTTTCTTTTTTTTTCTTTTTTGCAATTTTACCCCTAAGTTTTTGAGCTTTTACCCCAAGACATATACTGCCATGGGGGCCAGATTAAATCGACCAGCAGGCTTTGGCCATGCCTGCTCTAAAGGGTGATGGTTGTGATCTACCAATGGCAGTGCTCCCATTAAGTTTAACAGAACACAATTTCACACATTGCTGTGCTCTGTCATTTATGGTCAAAGCAGTTGGTTGGTTGGTTGTTGTTGTTGTTGTTAACATTTCTATTTTGCCCGCCATTCAAGGATCACAAAGTGATTGACAATATAAAAACACAAAAATATATAGCATAGTAACAAACTATGATACTTTCTCCTGCAATGAAACTCCCCCCACACCAGCATTTTCCAATCTGTTCCAGAAGATCAGAGGAGCCCCCAAAACAGCTTTAAGGGGCGTTGGAACACACAGCAGGGGTGGGTGGGGCAAAAGAGGGAGGGGAAGGTCCATTGCATGAATAGAAGCCGTTCCACAAATGTGATGACTTCACTAAAGGCAAACCCATGTGTTTGGCAGAAACCTCCTGATAAGGAGGACTTTAAACTGAGTCCTCTATGGGCGGTTAATGAAATACTAGAAGATAGCATGACATCATCGGCTGGAGATTGGAATATGAGTGAAACTAGGATGCCAATGCAAGTAAATTCTAACGTGTAATTAAACAATAGAAAGTTGGTGATACAGCCCAAGGTTTCTGATGTCTCTACACCAGTGTATGGGAGATAAATACAATGGGCTTCACATTTTAGCAGGAAAGCAAATATGGTTTGATTGTCATTACTGAAAGCTTGTTGACTGCAACTCATAGCTGGATGTAGGGCTTAGCATGAGATATTAATAATAATAAAAATGGTTTGCAGGCCATGCTCCGAGAAAGGGGAAGAACAAGGAAATGGTAGGTCCACTGCAAAGAGAAGATAGAGAATGAAAGTGGGTGACAAAGAGAAGGTGGAGCTGTTCAACTTTCACTTTGCCTTAAGGCTCATCCATAGTTCCTTTTCTGCCATATTTCTAAGCACAGATCCACGATTTCCAGGACTGTGTCCAAGTGTTTTGTTTTGTTTTATTCTGCCACTTTCTCTGGGAAAACCCACTTTTTTTTGCTAATTGGAGCCAACAGCAATTGGGTTATCTGCAGATTGCCTTGTTCTCTGATTCAGTGGTAAAATGCAGGTTTTCCAAGGGAAAGCGGTGGGGGAAGAAAAACACAACTGTTGAGATATGGACCTGGTGATCCTGGACCTGTGCCTAGAAAGTGTGGCACAAAAGGAAGTGTGGGTGAACCCTTCGTTGCAGTCAAGGAAGATGTGCTTGACCTGGCAATAATAGATCAAATGATAAATGAATTGAGTTGTAAGAAAAGAGCAGTATCCTAGGAAGCAGTGAAGCCCTGCATCCTAGGATACAAAAGAATCTTTCAGACGTAATATCAAATAGCATCTGTCAATATTTTTTAAAAAAAAATATTGGAGAATAAGGTAAGTGCTGCAAAACTGAAAGTAGGCAAATGTCCCCATATTTTTAAAAGGGGAATAGAGGAAGCAGGCAACAACTGATTAGTCAGCTTGACATCAATAGCTAGAAAGGTTCCATAGCAGATTAGTAAGTCATCATTCTGTGAGCATTTAGGGGAGGGAAAGCTGTGATCACAAAGTGTTTCTCAAGAATAAGTCATTCCAATCTTATCTCTTTTTTGACAGTTACTAGCATGATAGATAGAGGAAAAGTTGTGGACAGTGTATATCTTGATTTTAGCAAGGTCTCCCATGATATTAATGATTTGTTAAATGTGAGCTAGACAATCCCACATGGGTAGGATTTAAGCCTTTTGAGGGGCTACATCCAACCTGGAGAGAGGAGACAAGTGGTGTGCCACAAAGTTGTATCTGAGGACAGACAATGTTCATCAAATTTCAGGTGGCACCAAACTGGCTGGAATAGAAAATACTGTAGAAAACTGGAATTCACAATGAACTTGACAGTATGGAGAACTGGATCAAAACTAAGTCAGTATTAGCTAAGAGATAAATGTCAGATTTTGCATTTAGGGAGACAGAATCAGATGCAGAAAAACAGGACAGGTGACAGGCAACTGATTTGACAGCAGTACCTGCAAAAAAATCTTAGGGTCCTTTTGGAGAGTACATGCTAAACATGAGTCACAAGTACAATGTGTCAACTAAAAACGCTAATGAAATTCTAGCCAGCATCAACAGAAAGAAGTATAGGGTTCAGATCACACAAAAAATCAGCAGCAGCAACAACAACAAAAACCCCAACAACAAAGCTTCCCAAACACCATGCTAGCCAAAAAAAAAGTCTGTTCAGTTTTCTATTCTGAGCACCACAGATTTTAGAAGGATGTTGACAAACTGGAACATTTGCAGAGGTGAGCAACTTAGATGGGTGGAGGGCCTGGAGACCAATTCTATGAGGAAATGTTGAAAGAATTGGCATGTTTACATAGATATGAGACAATTAAGAAGTGATATGATAGCTATAATCAAATATTTGAAGGGCTACCACAAAGGTGATGGAGCAATTCTGTGCCCCCTGTTGCTCCAGAGAGTAGATCTACAGGGTTCAGATTACAAGAAAAAGGATTTAGCCTAAACAATGGAAATAGCTTTCTGGTGGTATGAACTGTTTGACAGGGGAAGAGTGGAAAGTCATGGATTCTTCTTCATTAGAAGTTTGCAGATGGTATTCAAGGCAAGTCCTACCTAGAGGAGACCCACTGAAGTTATTGGCTGTTCATGCATCATTCAAGAGTTTCTTGAATGATCTGTTTTGTTTGAGTTCTATGTTCTCTGCCATGGATTCTGGGATTGTTCTGTCGCTAGGCAAACATATTGGGATTGGGACTACATTCAAATTTAAATTCTCTCTGTGGATTCACCTGATCCAAAGTCTTTGCCTTGTCTTGCTTCCTGTGCATAGGAGTTTTGTTCTCTGGCATGTCCCCTCCCTGAATGATCTGCTATGCATGGATTTTGTGTTTTTTTCCCCATGGATTCATTAAATTTGAAGTTCACCATTGTCTGGTCTGCATTATCTGTCCCTTACTTAAAGGTAGTCATGTAGTACCCTTCAGATATCATTGAACTGCAACTCCCATCAGCCCCAACTGGCATGGCCAATGGCATTTGTAGTCCAACAGCAAGTGTAGAGCAATGCATTGGCTATCACTTAAATGAACAGCATCTTTTCTTTGAGTTTCTACACTTTACCACTGGAGTATGGATACATGAGCTCTCCCCCTTTGATACTGGGCTCAGGGACAGATACCCTGCTAGAGTCTGTCCCTGAGCACAACGGCCTGTTGTTTTACTTCAGTGTTCCACCCTGGTGCAGGATTATTCCAATTTCTGACCTGTTGGATAGCAATCTTTTCAGAAATTAGCAATATACATATATAGCCAGTATGGTGTAAGAGTTAAAATGTTGTGCTAAGTCCTGAGAGATCATGGTACAAACCCCCATTCAATCATGAAGCTCATTGGGTGACCTTGGGCCAATCAATAGCTTTCAGCCTAAACAACCTTTTGTGAGGATAAGGTGGGGAGAACAGAACCATGTACACCATCTTGAATTCCATGGCTATTGCATTATTATTCATGTAATAAATGACATGTGAGTGTGTACATACCTATACATATTCACAGCACAAATGCTTATATACATCTGTGGTGCATGATATAGCCATGGTATACTATGATCCAAAGTATTATTACATCTCTACAATTATCATATTGGGGGAAATGTTGGATATAAAATTTGCTCTGGATGATTATGCGAGCTTCATCCTGCTTCCAGGGTGAAGAAACTTGATAGATTTCCTTTCATTTCAAGGATAATAATTTATGGCGTGCTTTTCCTTCCCCTTCTCTGCATTTTTGTTCAAGTTCATCATTATCTTGCCGCACTTTCATTTTCTTTACATTATTTCCTTGATGTCTTTATCCACTGCTTTATTTGC